ATGAAATTTTTTTTATTAGCTTTGTTATCCACAAAGTTTCCCTATCCCTTCTCTTTATGTTCTTCAAGTTCTCCATTTATTACAATAATCTTTATGTTTCCCAATATCATCACTACATCATCCTCTGGATTCTTAATCAAACATAAGCTAGACTTGATACAATGCTGTCATGTGTAAACCTCTCCTTTTCAGTGCAGATACGTGATGAGAGACATCCAAAGTGAAGCAGAATTATTAACTGAGCGATTGATGAAAGAAAAAACGAAATAGCATGCTCACCACATTTCTGACACCATCTCAATCCACAACATGGGTCTAAATGAATATACGTTTCAGAATTAAAGATTGATGAGTCAACAATTTTAACCTAATTTTTTTATAAATTAAAGAAGGTTTTAAAATGAAACAGGTTTGATAAATATACTCAATTTAAAATATTTGAATTTAATTGATAGTGAAATCCAAGATAATATGGGTTTGAAAAACATGATAAATCCAGGGTAATATGAGTTTGGTAAATATTCCACACCCAAAATTTTTGATTTGACAATCAACCAAATCCAAAATAATATGGACCTAATGAATATGCCAAACCCAAAATATTTGAGTCCAAACTTAAAGCAGTATGAGATTTGACGACTATATTAAACCCAAAATATTTGTATTTGACAATCAGCCAAACCCAAAGCTATATGGGTTTGGTGAATGCACTAGACCCATGACACTTGAGTTTGACAATCAGTCAAACTCAAAGCAACATGAGGTCTAGCAAACATGTCTAATCCAAAATACTTGAGTTTGGAAATCAACCAAACCTTGAGCAAATATAGGTTTAGAAAAACATGTTAGACCTGTTGCAATGTTGCGGTCGCATAAATTAATTACCCTAACTTAAAACACAACACACAAGATAGTATAGAGCAAGTAAGGGATCGATCCCACAAGGAAGGTTCAAATCAGATTTTTATGCTAAATGATATGCAATTTGAGAGGGGTTCAAACGTTATCTAGGCTAAATAAAAAAAAAAACTATTAAGTGAAATAAAAGAAAATCAGAAAATTATCAAGAGAACAAACCTTGATCACAAGTAAACATTCACCTGCAGAAATCATAACTGGTCATGAAAACAAAACATCAATTTATATTCTGAATATTTATCACTTTTTAACATTGATTAGTTAATGGATAAGCCGTATAAGTAACACTAACCATCAAAAAACCACAATTTTCGAACTAGTAATTTAATTCAATGGTAGCCTTAAGAACTAAATAAGTTGATTGACTAAGAAAACATAATTGTCCACAGTTTATGTTTGATTTGATTGAATGTTCTTCCTAAGATTAATAGTGTAGATTCGCTACAATTATTAAACTTAGTTGTTTCACAAGTTCATATACCATAACTCTAATTTTAATATTAAATAATCATAGAAAAAATAAGCATAGAAGAATAAACATATTCATCATATATATTGAATATAAAAGGTAAAATAAATTTCACAATTCTTGAAATCCGAAGGTTTTCGTATTCTTGCAACTAAGAAAAAAAGTTTAGTCTTGCATATTTGTTGAATAATTAATCAAAAAGAAGAAGGAATGCATGATTTTGAATTTTTTAGAGGAAAGGGGCACTTTTCTCTTCTTGGCAGGCTGCCCTTTTCTCTTATCTCATTCTTTTTATATCCTAAGAAACTCTAATCTCTATTTTACAAAATAGTCCTCTCTTAACTAGATAGTTTATATTTAAATACTTTAATAACTATTTTCCTAAAAAATAAGCAACAACCACTACCGGAAAATTGATAAATACAAATGGAAATACTAAAGGAATATTTCTATTAGAAATTTATCAATGGCAATATTTTCTCGGTATATACTAAGGGAATTATAGTGGGAAATAAAATAAATAAAACAAAGCAAAAAAAAATGATGGGATGATTTTACCAATCATATACTGTAATTTCCATCGGTATTTTTCCAAGAGCTCTTGAACTATTCACTTTCCAATTACTCTGTTAATTACTATTTACAGACAAAATCATTGACGGATTAAAAAGTCGTTGGTGTTATTTGGTGGTTTTCTAAAAAATTTAGATTAAATTAAAAATGAAAATTAAAATTAAATATTACAGATGGAATTATCGACGGATTGAAAAGTCATCGGTAATATTTGGCGGTTTCTGAAATTTTTTTATTAAAATAAATATTATAGACTTAATCACCAATAGAATGATTAAAAATATTAATATCTAATTATCCATCGGTTAAACCATAGGTAAAACGCCCCAATAAAAATCCTAGAATCCCTAATTTCACAACAGACCCATCTCTTTTCTTCTTCTTCTTCTTTTTCCCTATATATAAAAAACATCAATATCCACTTCTTCTTTTTCCCTATATATAAAAAACATCAATATCTTTTTTTTTTTCTTCTCTTCTCTCCTAAACTCCTTCTTCTCTCCTCCATGCCCAGATATGTCTTCTTCTCCTTTCTTCTTAGTTTCTTTTTAATTAGTATACTTTAAGAAAAAAAATTTCATCCTTTTAGCTTAAACTGCAACTACATTAACATAAGATTTCTTTTTTCTTGCTTTTTTTATATATATTTATTTTTTACTTTATTTTTAATTGTTTTTGTTTTTAATAACTGTATGAATGTTGTTACAGGAATTTGTTTTTTTATGAGATCAATTTTTAGTTGATTTATTTACAGGATTTTTGAATTTTTTTCATATGAATTTTTTTAATTGAATTTATTTTATGCAAATTTGTTTGATTTGATTTTTTTCTTATTTTTTTTCCAAGTATTTTGAGTATTATAGAGTGTTGATTTATACTAATTTAATTATTTTATAGTTTTGTAAAAAATATTTTTTAAAATATTTTTAAATAATTACTGATGGAATTATAGACAATATTTTATCGAGGGAAATACCAACGAAATGAAGTGGGTAATTTTTTTTGCTCGCTTTTTCTGTAAGTCAATCCATTAATAATAATATTTTTTTTTTATTACCAACTCACTTACCAATAGATAAAAAATTACTAACAATAGATTTACCAATAGAGCATTTTCATCGGTGATTTCATTGGTAAATTAACTACCAATGGAATGATAGTGCAAATACCGATGGAAAATTTTATTGGTAAATATAAAAATTGTTTATTAGTACTTAAAGATGTATTTTTATCAAGGTTTTATATTAGTATTTTGCACTTGAAGTATCAATAACTCCTTAACAAAAGCATGTTTTATAATAACAAGTCTGATACTATAAGATATCATTAATTTATAGTAAATGTTCATCTTAAATGTAGGCCTATCACATAAATCAAAGGATTGATTGATGAGTTCAATCGCTAAAATTTAGAAAATAAAGAAAGGGTGAAGCTTAGTGACACGACCAAAAGATTGATGTCTTCTTCCAAGTGTAGGAGTGTCAAAGTAATAAATAATCCGGCAAGATCAAGGTCAAACCACAAGGAGATTAATTGTATAAATTATAAATAATAACAACAACAACAACAATAGTAGTAGTAGTAGTAGTGGTAGTAGTAGTAATAAGAAGAAGAAGAAAAAGAAAAAGTTCAAGAGGACTTTTAGATTAGAAGATTAATGTCAGGATAATTAATACTTAAAAGTGTATTTTTATCAAGGTTTTATATCATCATTTTGCATTTGAAGTATTAATAACTCCTTAACTAATGCATGATTTATAATAACATATCTCATAATATAAGATACCTTTCATTTGTGGTAAATATTCATCTTAAATGTAGACTTATCACATAAATGAAAGGATTGATTGATAAGTTTAAGTACTAAAATTGAAAGGATAAAGAAATGGCCAAACTTAGAAAAGAGATGCTGGTGTAGTTCAAGCCAGAACATTGTTCGGTAATTAGGTCATATCTGGAGTTGTAGATCTCGAATTTTGGTCTATTTTATATGGATAAAAAGGTAAGACATAGGCTTATAATTTTCATGACAATCCAAGATTTAAGAAGGCCATTTTGAAATCCAAATTATAGCAATAACAAAGAAGTTATAATCATAAATATTTAACAATATTTACAAGTATTAGCATTTTTATCAAGGTTTTATATCATCATTTTGCACTTGGTACAACAAATACTTGGCTTTTTTGTAGCTTAACTATATGGTATAACCGACACTTGTGCTATGAAAAGAACTTGATTTCTTGCTAACATAAGTTATAATCATGAATACTTGACAATATTTATAAGTATTAGCATTATTTGAATATAAGGATTGCCACAAAGTCAAGAAGATAAGGATTATCACAAAGTCAAGATGTGACCACCTACTCAACAATTAGTCAACAAATCAATAATTCTAAATTTTGGCCTATAAAAGGAGACATTTGCATGCATTTAGGCATTTTGTTTTTAAGTTCAAGATCATGTTTTTGCTCTCTTTCTTGTTGTAATGCTTAAGTTTTGCTTATATTAATCTTTTGTTTATGCTTTTCATTTTCTTTTCTTTACTTATATCTTATTTATGTTTTTATCTTGTTTATTTATATTTCTCTTCTTCATTATGTTTAGCTAAGTTTATCATGTTAAGGTGAAAAAGGTATACTATTGGTGTAAGAATAAGTATAATATAAACTCAACATGGACTTTAATGTTTGATACTAACATGTTTTGTATTTGTTATTTTATTCACTCTTAATACTTTACTTGTTAAATGATTAATCTAGATTTATGTTGTCATAACCCTTGGCACAACAAATACTTGGCACTTTCATATCCAAATAATTAGCTTTCTCGTTAGTTTAGGGAACACCAAACTAATGGTAGAAGCTTAAGTACCTACAAAAATAGTCTCAATCGAGGGGACTTAAAGACCCTCTTATAATAAAGCGAGTATCTTTATGAGAAAAGCAAGTAATGATTTAAAAGAACCTTAAATTTAAGGAACAAAGCTGTTTGTTCTTAAGTTTTAAGATGGTTAATGCTCAGAAACATATGTAAGTTTTTTTTAAGTGATGAAAGTTCTTAACCTCTTACGTAAATGGTTTATGGGGTATTCATATCATCTGAACTTTATCTTTTCCAAGGGAGAGAAATAATAGAAAGTCCTTTTATTTTTATGGCATTAATGATATGCCGAAATCCTGTACATTTCATTAATGAGGGAGAAATATTCTATACACATCACTAATGAGAAAGGACATGTTATGGGCTCCTTAGGAGAAATTTTGAATATCCATGGATATAGGGAGATCATTACCTTGGACATGAATGGATCATGTAATTGTTCTAAATGAAAAGGCATGATGGTTTATCATGCCTATAATATTTTTAATATAAGGGATCATCTAGGATAAAAAGCATAGTTGTAAAACCCGATAGTCTTTGAACCTAAATATTTTGGGTCTTGATACAACCATATTATTTTATAGTTTCACCCACATTTAACTAGTGCTTTGCTTATGTTTTATATATAAAATATCTTGATATTCTTTATTTTATGTTTTGAATGTAATTTTAGATGAAAGATGTAAAACAGAGTAAATTGGCAGTAATTGGTAGATTTGACCTTCAGTCGATGTTTCGTGCAGAGCGTGAGCTGTAGAGATATTTGTTGCCGATTATTTATTGTACTAAAGGTTATACAACATAAATCTAGATTAACCATTTAACAAGCAAAATATTAAGAGTGAATAAGATAACAAATCCAAAACATGTTAGTATTAAACATTAAGGTCCATGTTAAGTTTATACTATACTTATTATTACACCATTAGTGTAACCTTTTCACCTTGACATCATAAACTTAACTAAATATAATAAAAGAGAGAAATATAAATAAACAAGATAAGAACATAAATAAGATATAAGTTAACTAAGTAAAGAAAAGGAAATGAAAAGCATAAACAATAGATTAATATAAACAAAACATAAACATTACAAAATTATAAAGAAAGAGAGCAAGAACATGATCTTGATATGAAAACTAAGATGTCTAAATGCATGACAAATACCACCTTTTATAGGCCAAATTTTGAAACTATTAATTTGATTACTAATTATTGAGTGGGTAGCCACCTCTTAAGTTGGTAACAATCTTTATCTTCTTGTCTATAGAAACATCATTGCTAAGATAAGAATTTGAATTGATAGTCTTCATAAAAGTTCTAGAGAATTGTCTCAGCTTTCCAACAAAACAAGAATGAGGTCATTTGGACTTCTAGAACTCGAGATAGGGCTGAACATTAAACAGTTTCTAAGCTGTAGGACAAATTTAGACTTCTCTTTTGATACTAAGATTTGTACTTCCAAATTGCAAAATTAAGTCTTGGAGTTTCATGAATGTTTTAGGCCTATGTCTTAGCTTTCTAGCCATATAAACCAAACTAAAATCCAAGATCTATAGCTCCAGATATGATCCAATAACTGAACAGTGTTCCAGTTTAAATTAAATCAACATCTCTTTTCTAAACTTAGCCTTTTTCTTTATCCTTTCACTTTCAATAGTTAATTACATCAATCAACCCTTTGAATTGTGTGCATTTAAAATGAGCATTTATCATAAATTAAAGCTATCTTATATTATCATACTTGTTATTATAAAACATGATCTAGTTAAGGAGTTATTGATACTTCAAGTGCAAAATGATGATATAAAATCTTGATAAAAATGCACTTATAAGTATTGATCATCTAGCATAAAGAATGTTTATGAGAACTGTCGCTATACGACGTCGGGCAACGACTCCACTCTTTTTTATTTGTTTTAACAAAAAGAATAAATGTTTTTTTGTTCTTGATTGGGGAAAATAAAGATTTTATTGGAGTCGTCATCTAGTAATTTGAGGGAACTAGAAATCCAAAATTAGACACTAGTCCCAGAGATTCAGGTACTAGGTTAGTTATGATTAAGGGAAGGTAGACACTACCCTTAAAACATCCTTTCAGAGAAAGGTTACCCTTACTTGTGTGTTTTTTATTTGATTCAAACGCTATTATATTTTGAGCTTATTTGCAAAAAAATTTAAGATGGTTAACATCGGTCCCTAAAATAGGAGACACGTTAAAAATGACATCAGTCCCTAAAAAGGAGACTTTGTCTAAAATGTCGACGTTTGTCCCTAAAAAGGAGAATTGTGTCTGATTTACCAAAAGAAATAATAATGGACATAATCCATATTTGGTATTTAAATTTTTGACATCGGTTCTTTTCTATAAATAAAAGAGACGTGTCGATAAATAATATTTATTTTATAAAACACAAATTATTTTGATATCGTTGAGAAATGGGTATATCCATTCTTGAGAATCGGGCTTTGAACCCATGAACAGTGACATGATAAAATGGGTGTTGGACCCGCGTCGTTATTTATTTTAAATTTATTTTTGTTTATTTTTGTTTTTTTTACATGCAAAAAGTTACAAGTATTTATATATAAAAATATCAAAAATACCATAAAAAATCATAAAAATTACCTGAGTGCCACTATATAGGTAAAAGACTGAAATACCCTCGGATTTCTCTGCAATTTTTGAAAATACCACTGGCGGCGCGTGTGGCTCACGCACGGCTACTGTTGATGGCGGCGAAATTTTCCGGTGAGATTCCGCCAAAAGATGGTTAATTCTGGTAGATCTGAGGACGAGGATTCTGATGGTGGTGGTCTCAACACTCGTTGATGGCTGATGAGGGAGAATCGTCGACTTGAAGCTCCGGTTGGCTGATTCTGTCGCGGCCTTTTTTCAGCCAGATTTGACGGTGAAAACGAGTAAAACGATCGGGGTTTTGCTTCAGAGGAGGCGAGAGAGAATCGCCCGCGAGAGGAGAGAGAGACTCTGAGATTTGCTATAGTGTGAACGCGAGTATGGTGCGTCTGAACGCTGTAAATGGTTGGATCGTGGATGAGTTGATCGAGCGGTTGTGATTGGCTTGATCTGTAAGTTGATCGGACGGTCTGGATGGGCTGAGCTATTATCTGGTGTGTCGCGGTGTACCGAGTGTTTGGTACACGTGATGACGTGGCGCAACAGGATCAAATGGAAGATTATTTTAAAGGCTGAGATGGATTTGGGTTTTAATCTGGTGTGGTAAATCCTATTGTATCCTAAAAAATCAAAGGCCCAAATTTAAATACTATTAGATCTAACGGTTAGGATATTTTTGGTATTTTTCAAATTGTTTTAAAAAAAAATCAATATCTTACTCCCGTGAAGAAAAAGTAGAAAATAAGTGAACAGTATCAAATAGTAAGCGCTCGGATTCAGAATTCTCTTCTTTTCTTTTCTTCTTTTCCTACCCCTGGTTGGCTTAGTTTCATTGGCTATTTATAGCCAATGACAGGGTACAAGGAATCACGGATTGTGCAAAATTTTCAATGTAAAGCTGCACTGCTTACCATCGGCAGAAATCCTCCGCCTACTATGACAAAATTGTATTATTTTTTGTTTTATTATATATAATAATAATATTTATTTATAGGGGTAAAATTAAAAATTCAAATCAGTATTATAAAAAGCTTTTCAACCGCTAAAAATTAATTTTAATTACAAAAAAAATCTTTATACAGGTATCAACTCGGTGGACCAGGTTTTTTGACCAAAAATGACAGTTTTGACCCGAAATTGCTCGAAACTCATTTTTCATCCCGGTCGACATGATAGGACCCGTATTGACCCGGTGGACTCGATTTTGACCCAAAATGACGATTTTGACCCGAAACGGCCTGAAACTCATTTTTCATCTCGGTCGACATGGTGGGACCCATATTGACTCGATGGACTCAGTTTTGATCGAAAATGATGGTTTTGACCCGAAACGACCCGAAACTCATTTTTCATCCTGGTCGACATGGTGGGACCCGTATTGACCCAGTAGACTCGGTTTTGACCGAAAATGATGGTTTTGACCCAAAATAACCTGAAACTCATTTTTCATCCCGGTCAACATGGTGGGACCTGTATTGACTCGATGGACTCGGTTTTGACCAAAAGATGCGGTTGACTTGAGAAAATATATTTTAAACTTTTTTTATTTTTTTATTTTTGTTATGAATAATAAAATAAAATAACATTCGAGAAAATCTTAGTGAATCCAAAATTGGGTTACAACAATTGCCCGCTCTTTACAATGCTTATGGTGAAAGGCATTGGAAAATTCATTTTCTTTTGACTTTGCATAATAAGTTTTGTAAAGAAAAATGATGGAGGTGTTGAAAAACACATATTTTCAGTTGGTCTAATTCTTATGGGCGACCTGCCCAAGTGAAAAACATGAAAGTGTTTTCAATCTTGATTTTGTGAAATACCAGAAAGTGATTTCAATAATGGTTTAGTGAAATACATGAAAGTGATTTCATCAATGGTTTCTTGAAATACATGAAAGTGATTTCAGATTAGTTTTGTTAAATACATGAAAGTGATTTTGATTAGTACTTAAAAGTGCATTTTTATCATGGTTTTATATCATCATTTTGCACTTGAAGTATCAATAACTCCTTAACCAAAGCATGTTTTATAATAATATATCTAATAATATAAGATACCTTTAATTTGTGGTAAATGTTCATTTTAAATACAGGTCTATCACATAAATGAAAGGATTGATTGATGACTTTAAGAACTTAAATTGCAAGGATAAAGAGATGGCCAAACTTAGAAAAGAGATGTCGGTGCAATCCAAACCGGAACACTATTCGGTAATTGGGTCATATCTAGACCTATATAACACTGTTCGGTAATTGGGTCATATCTGGAGCTACAGATCTCAGATTTAGGTCCAATTTATATGGATGGAAAGGTAAGACATAGGCCTACAACTTTCATATGGAGCCCAAGATCTAAAAAGGCCATTATCAAGTCCAAATTATAGCAACAACAAAGAAGCCCGAATCTGTCTTCCAGCCCGAGCAGTGTTCAGTAGTTTGGCCATATCTGGAGTTCTAGAAGTCCAAATGAGCTGAAGTTTTTACACAAGAAAGCTGAGACAATTTCCTACAACTTTCATGTTTGCAACTGGCTCCAATTTTGACGTTATCAATGACGTTTTTGGCAGACAAGAGAAGATAAGGATTGTCACCAAGTCAAAAGTTGGCCACCCACTTATCAATTAGTCATCAAATCAATAGTTCCCAATTTTGGCCTATAAAAGGAGGCATTTGCCATGCATTTAGGCATCTTGGTGTCCAGATCAAGATCATGCTCTTGCTTTCTCTCTTTGTATGTTTTGTAATGTTTATGCTTTGTTTTCATTAATATCAAGTTTATACCTTTCATTTCCTTGCATTTACTTATTTAAGTTTAATCTTATTCATGTTCTTATTTTGTTTATCTATTTTTCTTTCTTTCATTATGTCTAACTAAGTTAATTATGTCAAGGTGAAAAGGTTACACTAATGGTGTAAGAATAAGTATAATGTAAACTTAATATGGACTTTAATGTTTTATACTAACATGTTTTATATTTGTTATCTTGTTCACTCTTTAATACTTTGCTTGTTAAATAACTAATCTTGATTTATGTTGTATAACACTTGGTACAACAAATGCTTGGCACTTTCATAGTTCATACTGTATGGTATAACCGACACCTGAGCTATGAAAGGAACTTGATTTGTTGTTAACATAAGTTATAATCATGAATGCTTGACGACATTTACAAGTATTAGCATTAATTGAATAAGATGACTAATGTAATTATGTTAACAATCTATAATCCAATTGGAACCTTATTTATGTGTGGTTTCCAATTGAATAATAAGAGTTTATATTATACTTGTTTGACATACCATTAGTGGAATCTCTAACCTTGACAATTTTTATTATCATTGTTTAATCGTTACATTAATATTCCTTCTCTAAGTTCTCATCATCATCTTCTTCTTCTCTTTCTTTATTATTATTATTATTATTATTAGTACTACTACTACTACTACTATTATTATTGTTATTATTATTATTATTATTAGTACTATTATTATTATTATTATTATTATTATTATTATTACTATTACTATTATTATTATTATTATTATTATTATTATTATTAGTACTAATACTACTACTACTAGTACTAGTATTATTATTATTATTATTATAGTTGTTGTTGTTATTGCTATTATTGTTGTTTATAATTGTTGTTTATAATTTGTACAATTAACCTCCCTGTGGTTCGACCCCGGTCTTGCCGGGTTATTTATTACTTCGACACTCCTACACTTGGGAGAAGACATCAACCTTTTCGTCGTGTCAAGTTTTTGGCATCGTTGCCGAGGAGGTAAGTTCTTGTATAAATTATAGTTTTTATTTTATTTTCTCTTTTCATTTTTTTTGTATATAACTTTGTCTCTTTTATTTTGTTTCTCCTTATTTTGTTTTCTTCCTTCTTCTTTTGTTTTCTTCTTCATTTTATTATATTCCAACACGTGCATGAGAGTGTAGTCACGTACATCAAGTGGTAGACTTTGTAGGGTATCCTCATCATTTTCAGAAAATATGGCCGAAGAAGATAATCAATCACTTCATAATGAAAATAATGAGAATAATCGTGCTAGAACACTTAAAGACCACATGAATCCCACAAGAACAAGTGCACCATCATGCATAGTTTTTCCTCCCGATGCATCTCATTTTAATTTTAAACCAGGTATTATTCAACTTTTACCTTCTTTTCATGGCTTAGATTTAGAAAATCCATACTTGCATTTAAGGGAATTTGAGGAGGTCTGCAACACATATAATAATTTAAATTGTAGCATGAACACCATCAGATTAAAGCTTTTTCCTTTTTCATTAAAAGATAAAGCTAAAACATGGCTACAAAATTTGAGACCAGGATCCATTCGTGCTTGGGATGAAATGCAACAACAATTTTTAAAGAAGTTTTTCCCATCTCATAGAACAAACTCTTTCAAAAGACAAATCACTACTTTCACTCAAAAACCAGGAGAAACATTTTACCAATGTTGGGATAGGTATCGAGACTTGCTTAGTACTTGCCCTCATCATGGTTTTGAAACATGGAGATTGGTTTCACATTTTTATGAAGGGTTAACATCTAAAGATAGGCAAATGGTTGAATTGATGTGTAATGGAACTTTTA